AATATTATTAGCGCTTTTATACTGTGGATTCCCATAAAAAATATATGGATCGATACCGGTCCGAATATGTTGATTAGTATATTTTGTGCCACCTGAATATATTCGGATAGATATTGATCCAAATATTTATTTTTTAGAATTGACACTATTCGGTCCGTATATGTTCGATCCGTATACGTCATGTTTCTAGTAGTGTGAACTTGTTATTTTGATGGAATGTTAATGGAATATTATTGACATGTATCGTGTTTGACTAGAGACTTATCTTGATAATTTAATGTGGACAATGATGTGGATCTATCCTTTCACTTTGTCAAAAACAGTCCACAATATTGACAAGGTAGATCATTTTGATAAGTTTTTTTTTTTTTTTTTTTTATAGTTTCTAGACTAATTTGGGAGAAATTGAACTTTCTAGACCAAAATGATATCAAATCAATACTTGATAGACTAAATATTAAATTTGACGGGGTCTGTAGAACTGGTTAGTGTTTGGCACGGTGTAAACGCGCAACAAAAAGACTAAGAAAAAAAAGAGTCTCGAAACAAACAAAAGGTGTATTCAGTTTGACTTTTTTTTTTTTTTTTACTATGTTTTATAGTTAAATTATAAAATAATATATTAATTTTTTTAATTTAAAGGTTTTTTTTAACAATTAATTAAAGTATTTAGAAATTTAGTTTATAATAAAACTTTAAGGGTTGAAGTAGTTTTATTAATAGTGTAAAAGACTTTTTACACCTCATGATAAAGATTCAAACCTATTCTTCCTTCTCCACTCTTATTATGTATTTAGGTTGAGAGGAGGAGAGGGGAGAAAAGTGGTTTTTAATTAATTATATTATAATATTTTTTTATCTTAATTGTATAATAAGAGATAATTCTTTTTTATCTTTTATTTTATCTCAATCAAATGTTATACTATTTGAATTCAAAATTTTTTATTTTTTATTTTTTAAATTATCACTTAATTATTTAGGTTATTATAATCTAATTGGCCAAAAAATTCTATTCTCCTTTCTCCTCCTCTCCATTTCCCTTAAATCAAACATAGTATTATTCTCTCTATAAGCTTGATTGTTTTACTCTAGTACATAAAATATATATATATATGATGAGAACCCCAAAGAGGACAATAAGACCCACATTACGACAAGGGATTTCTAAACTCTAGAAAAACTAAATCAGTTTTATAATAGGATCTTGACTCGTTGTTTATGTCGCAATAAGAACCAAAGGTACAAACCTTGACCATTTGTCTATGACGCAACAAGAACCAGAGGTATAAAGTTGGTTGACGCCACACCCTCGAACAATTAAGAATAAAAATGATAAGTCAAGTTAGAACGCCACAGGAATAATCTTAATAATTTTTGTAAAGTTCTGAAACGAATCAAAGAGAAAAGTCTCTCAAAAACTCAGATTCAATTGCTCCCCCCAATTAGGGTTACAAGCCCTTTAAATAGAGAAAAGTAATTTTAATCAAAATAGGAAACTAATACCCTAAGCCCTAAGCCCTAAGCCCTAATCCTAATAACCACAAATTGAATCTCAAATAAATGAATGTTCAGCCCAAAATAATACAAAAAATATGAAAATCATTGAAAGTAACCTAAAATAATATAAAATATCAGTTTGTTACAAATTGCGACAGAATTATGAGATTTTAACGCAAACTGTGTAATTTAACGTAAATGACCTCAATTAAGCTTCTCTTTGAACCTGAATGATGTTTACCGTGCCTTGATAATCATCCAAGTTTCAATTTGCTTATTGCATGTTGTTATCAACCCAAATCTGTTCAATAAGACCATTTAAAACTTCTCGCATCTTCTTAACTCTAACTCTCGTGACTAGACCTCCTGAAATGTATAATAGATCTCTTGACGTGGTACATGTGAGGCCATCTTGATTCCCATCAATATATATGTCACGCCCTAGAACCCAAATCCGGGGACGTGGCAGACGCCGTGCACTCGTGAGACGAGTCCCATAAATGCACAAGGCTCGGAACTTAATCATATCATATTCTGATACCACCAAAATCTGAAGATAAAATTATAAATTTACTCTGATATTATAAAATCTCCAAATACACTCTGGTTTACAAGATTATGATTTATTTCTAAAATCTATATCAATCTCGAAATGACTAGCTTTCTAACTCGTAACTCCCCGTGGTTTCCCCGTCCTTGGTTCCGCTTCCTGAAATGGTGGACAAGGAAAACTATGAGATAAACTCAGTAAGTAAAATATGGATTGCCCTTAATTAAACGTATAGCATGCCAACAAGTGTAATCAGAAAAACAGATACAAGTACGGGAACGAAATAAACGTCTCTTCCATAGGTCACGGCCAGTGTTATAAACCTCCCACTGGCAGGCTACAGAAATTACTAGTGTAAAATCCCACTAGCAGGATTACAGAAATACCAGTGTTTAACAACTCCCACTAGCAGAAGGAACCGGCTCTACAGAAATACATGTCGACATGTGCTAGCGTTTAACCCCCACTAGTAGGGTTATCAATAACATAACCACATCAGAGACAAAACAAGCAGAAGTTAACAGAAAATTCATAATTCACTAATCACTTTCAAATCATCAAGACAATCAATTAAGTTTCAAGTAGGCATGCTTAATTTAATGAAAAGCATGAAAATCTTATTTCAAATCAATCATGCTCATTTTTGTATAAAAACGAGTTTAATCCCGCCATCACTTCAAAAACAAGTCAAAACATGCTTTTAAAAACAGTACGGACATTACCATAAATTTACTTACCACACTTGCATAAAACCGAGCACTTAATTCATGTACTAAAGTACCTCAAGAATCAAGAATCAAGAATCTAATCAAAATATCCAAGAATTAATACCGTACTATCACAAATTCACACTAAAATCATCATTAAAACTACCCTTAATCATGATGCTATTCCTATCAATCTCTACATGATCAAATATCTCCAAATTCATTCAAATATCTCCAAATTCATTCTTATATCACAAACTAATCATTTAAATCCCCGTTAATTGTCGACCCTCGATGTGTGAACAGTAATCTATGAACAGTATCGTAAACAGTAACCACGACGTGAACAGTAACTCCAACTTCCAAAATTGGCAAAACCATAGCCTATTCTCACGGGATTTTCTCCAGAAATCACACAACAATCAATTAACACTCAATCACCTAAATTCCACTTGAATTAGGCTAAATCATGTTCTAATTACTATCAAATTTCTCCCCAATTTTCTGTCAAATTCGGACAACACAGCCAGCAAACTAAATTAATAATTTAAGCCTTAAAAGGGCTTTCACATACCATAATTTAGCAAGCAAAACCGAGCTGCAGTTTGGGAGAGAAGCCGGCGGCAGTGCAGGGGGAAGCTCACGGAAACTACCCAAAAATTGAAGGAACCAAGAGCAATTAAGGTAAACCCAAGTGAAATCAAGGCTAAAGAGAGGGAGTACATGGCTGTGGCTTACCGGAATTTGAAGAATTTCGCCCCCACAACAAGAGCAGCCGGCGGTGAAGACAAGCAGAGCAAGGCAGATCTGGAATTTCCAGCAGGGGGAGAAGGTTTCTAAGCTCCTAAATCTTGTGATTGAACAAGAAAGAATGAGGAATTTCAAGCTTTCTTCCAATTTTTTTCAAGCATGCAGGTCGGCAAGCTTGGGGGGGCTGTCGGGATGCAGCGGAAAAAAGAAGAGCAGAAACGGGCCGAAGAAGAAAGAAAGAAAGAAAGAAAAAGGAAAAAGAAAAGAAGCCATCCTTATCCAAATTTTAACTCTTTTAAGTCCCTCAACTTTCAAACTTTTGGCTATTAAGCCCAAAACAATATTTTTCCTCACAATCAAGTCCTTAACTCAATGCTAAAATACCACAAAATTTTGGGATATTACAAGTTAAATTAGACTTGAATTGCATAATGAATATTGGGTTTTGTCATTAAAATGAATGATAAATTAAGTAAATATATTGAAATTTGTTAAAGTGTGGTTGAACCCAATTTACAATAATTT